TACCTATCTGTCCCCCTCAGCTCCTTTTTGCCTCTGGGTTCTGAAAAACTACTGCAAGTTTTCTGCATGGTTCAGTTTGAAACAGGAGGAGGTGGGAGCCAGTTCTGGAAGGCACCTATTGGCTAGCCACCATGCCATTACCAGTGTACAGCCCCAAATTCCAGTGCAGTTTTAGATGAATGTGGATAGTATAAATGGGTACGATGCTTTAGTGTAGAAAAACCCCATACAACCCCCAAACTAAAACAACCTGAGCAACTTACTGGGATTTAAGCTGAGAAGTCAAGGGACCACTGTTGCCTGATCCTAGAGAGCCAGCGTGGTTAAGAGTGATGGACTCTGATCTCGAGAACTGGGTTCGATTCCTCACTACTCCACATGAAGCCAACTGGGTGACCTTGGGTCAGTCACAGCTCTTTCAGAGCTCTCAGCCCAAAAAATAAGGGCTAGAACTTAAGACTGCCAGACAGTCTTCAGATCTCCTGACTATACTACACACTACACATACTGGCTATACTACACACATTGCCGTAGAATAATTAATTAACTAATTATTCTGCCTGATTCTGTCCTATGAAGAATCATCCGGGGGTACAATTAAAATGCTGTTACGTCAGTAGCAGCATTTTAATAGTGACCGCAGATAGTGTGTGGAAAGCGTGGCAAAGAGTAGGCAGCTTCAGAGAATGATGGCTCTAAATCAACGCTGGGGCAAGTATGCCCTGAATACTAATTCCCAAAGAGAACAGTTTACAGTGAATCAAATTGTAGGTTTAAATGGTGAACAGTTGGAGTGAACACTGGGCGCTCGTCAAAACAGAAAATATAATTGCTTTGTCAGCTATAATGAGGAGCACGGGTAAGTTCTTAACGTCTTGAAGTTACTTGCTAAAAAAGAGGAGATAATGTTCCTGTTAATATGTCTGCATTGCTCCGCAAACTGCTCCCTTTGGTGCCTGTTTGAAAGCATTACGGATAAAAACGAGCACTGTAATAACTCATGGTGAAAGAAAGAAGCCTAGGTTGGGTGGAAATGCTTTTTCTTTCTTTCTTTTGTTTTTAAGGTTTGGCTTGAGCAACAAGTTTGACACAGAATTTCCCTCTGTTCTGACAGGGAAGGTAAGTCAGAGTTTGTACCAACTTTAATCTAAAAAGCGTCTTTCCCTTCTACTGGTTGTATACTTTCGTGCTGACAATCATTCTTCGTATCAAATGCTGTGGACCTAAATGCTTTTATTTGCAGACATGTTCACTGATCACAGGAAAAGCTACATTCAAGTAAATCTGTTTAGGAGCAGGGTGCCCCTTTGATCCACGGCAGGTTTCTTGAAGCCTGTCAGCCATTTTACCCTACTGAAATCCACATCACTGTAACTCTCTGTATTCTTGGTGCTGGGGGGGGGGCAACCGTGGGAAGGCTTCTAGTGTCCTGGCCCCACTGGTGGACCTCCTGATGGTACCTGGTATTTTTGGCCATTGTGTGACAGAGTGTTGGCCTGATCCAACATTGGCTTCTCTTATGTTCCCTGTTTCTCTTAATATCTGGGCTCACGTCTGATAACAAGGCATGCCTAGCATATCTGGTGGCCAAGGACCTGTACACTTTTATCAACATACAGCGCCTTGCACATTTGAAGCACCTTTGCAAATGTTAAATGATGGTGCTAGTTTTGAATCGCCTACTGGGATAACTGAACACGTTATAGAATTGTATCTGGCATGCTTCTTCCCTTTGATCCACTGACCGTTTCTTTTTTCCTTCATGCCGGACAATGTTTTAAAACATTCTAGCTGACGGTGTCACTTGCGTGGCAGCGTTCTTAAATGACATGGCAGGCACAAAAAGAAATGGGGCTCCTATTTTCTGGTTCCTGTTCTGATGACTCAGCTTTGGCCAGTTTCTGATCGGAACAGAGTTACAACTGTTGACTTTTGTTCCTGACCGTATCTGCAGAAAAGGTGCCTGGCTCTGACTATTGTAGTGCAGCCAATAATCTTTCCTACACTTCTGAAGTAATGCCCTAATGCAGTGATTTCCAGGGTTTATTTGCTTCATTCATCACCCACCTTTCTCTCTGAGCCTCAGTGCAGATCCAAGAGGGCAGCCAAATAGTATGGGACATGCAATAGACAATGCAATGGGGTAAGCATTACAAAAAAACAGAAACAATGCAAAAAAAAAAAAAATCAGACATGAGGTAGCATAAAAATGCAGAAAATGGAATTATAAAAGTAGAAGACAACACAGTAAGACCATAATACATAGAATAAGAGTGTAGTGCACTGTTCCCTTTATAAAAGTGTCCTCCTGAACCATTTCATTATACTACAGCCTTATGCTGCGTAAAAAGGAAGACCCTCCTGAACAATCCTGTTTCATACTGTGTGGAATGAAAGCAGTGCAGGAGCCTTCCCGGACCTCCTCGGGCATGTTGTTCCACCAAGTGGGAGATGCAACAGGGAATAATTATGCAGGGGCATCTGTTGGTCTTACCCATTTGCCGGATGGCACCTTCAGAAAACTTTCCTCAGAATGAGAGTCCCAGATTTCTGTATGTGATAACCAGTAACTTGAATTGAACTCGCTAACTGATAGGTAACCAATGGAGTGACTGTGGAGTGGATGTAATATGCATACACTGCCTAGCTCCTGCTAGCAACAGAGTGGTGGCGTTCTGGACTCACTGGGGTTTCCAGGGTAACTTCAAGTTTAGACCTATGTAGAGTGCCATACCATAATCTCATTTCTAGTCACTGTGGCATGGATCCATGTGGCCAGATCAGTAGGGAACCATCTTCCGGACTAAATCAAGGTGGAAGAAAGCCGCTCTACAATCTTTTTATGAAATTAGAAATGTTGATGAAACAGTTATGTTTAATTAGATAGATGATCATTTTCAACGAGAGTTAACTTGTGTTTAAGTTTAAAGGTAAATGTGTAAACGTATGTATGATCACCATCTCTTGGGTTTTTAGAGGGTTTTCTTTACTTTCTCCTATAGATGTAATACCCCTTCCCTGCATTTTCTGTTTGTAGCTTTTAGTGTGTAGTTATTAGAAAATGCAATTAAAAAACATCCCCTTTGGGGGGTACAAAAAAAAAAGGTGGAAGAAAGCGTTAAGCCACCGTTTTCGATGCTTCTGCCGCACTGTACCCCTCAGAGTGGAGGGTCCCCTTGCAGTATTCCGTTTGCATCTTTCTGCGCCTGTATATGGGCAGAGGCATCATCCGAAAGGAGGTTCCTTCCTGTTGCAGTCCACCTGCAGCTGACAGGTGTGGGGGAATCCTTAGAAGCATTTCCAGTCCCTGAGCTGTGCAAAAGAAAGCGTGGGATGCCAGGAGTGACTGATGAGATGGGGTTGTGCTGTAGTTGCCAGAAAGATGTCTGTCTGTCCAGAAGCTGGTCCAGAACATGTTTGTGGAGTGACGGCTGCCACTAACTGAACTCAGGGGCTTCTGCGACCAAAGCAGGTACATTGGCCCATGTCACCGAACTACAGCTGCTCCTCTCTCTCTCTCTTTTTTGGGTGAACGTCTCTCCCCCTTGCAAAGCATTGACCCTGGAGAAGATCTTTTTTTCATTAAGCATGGGGCTTTCTGGGGTTGCAGATTCCTGTGGCATTTCCACTCAAAATTTGGAATGTCATTAACAAAATATTTTATTGTAACCTTTTTAACACCCCATTTTGAGAGAGTCTGTGTAAAACTAAGGAAGACACGTATGCAGCCCCTGGCTTACGTGCTGAGCTCTGACTGGGGTTAGCATTTATTTCTCTCATTCCAGTTTCAGTGATTGTCCCGTAGACGGTCGTTTCTTTGCTAGGGTGTTGTCAGATGTGTTAACGAGAAAAGTAAAAATGCGGCCCATCATGGTGCTGTGAACAGACTGCCGTTCCAGATTCATATCTCTGCTTAACTATAAAGCTTGGACCGGTCAAATTAGCCTTCCTCACTAATTTTATTTTGTTACCGAGAGGCAGTATGTTCCGCGGGTTACTGTGTGGTATCCACTCAAAATTTGGAATGTCATTAACAAAATATTTTATTGTAACCTTTTTAACACCCCATTTTGAGAGAGTCTGTGTAAAACTAAGGAAGACACGTATGCAGCCCCTGGCTTACGTGCTGAGCTCTGACTGGGGTTAGCATTTATTTCTCTCATTCCAGTTTCAGTGATTGTCCCGTAGACGGTCGTTTCTTTGCTAGGGTGTTGTCAGATGTGTTAACGAGAAAAGTAAAAATGCGGCCCATCATGGTGTTGTGAACAGAGTGCCGTTCCAGATTCATATCTCTGCTTAACTATAAAGCTTGGACCGGTCAAATTAGCCTTCCTCACTAATTTTATTTTGTTACCGAGAGGCAGTATGTTCCGGGGGTTACAGTGTGGCATTTGTTTTGGGGTGGCCTAGCTTCAAATTCTCACTCGTGCATGAAGCTCAGCAGCTGGCCTGCACTGGCCATTCTCTCTCTCTTATCCTAACCAACTTCACAAGGTTGTTGTGAGGATAAAGAAGATGAAGAAGAGACTGAATTTATACCCCGCCCTTCACTTGGAATCTCAGAGCGGCTCACAAACTCCTTTCCTTTCCCCTCCCCACAACAGACAGCCTGTGAGGTAGGTGGGGCTCTGACAGAAACTGCTCTTTTTCAAGAGCAGCTCTGACAGAACTATGTCTTGCCCAAGGTCATCCAGCCAGGTGCCAGTGGAGGAGTGAGGAATCAAACCCGATTCTCCCAGAGTCCGCGCACTTAACCACTACACCAAACTAGCTCTCCATAAAATGGAAGAGGGGAGAACCCAGAGCTTCTTGGCAGGGCTGGATAAAAATGCAGTAGAGATGATGAGGAAGGACACGTTTGTTTTTATTATAGTCCACCTTTCTCAGTGAGGCACAAGGCAGATAACATAGCGTGAGTCCAATACAGTCAACAGGATGGGGGCATCCAATAAACAGTGCAACAGGGTTGGGACTGTGGAAACCTGGAACCCACCAGAAATCTGAGACAGAGCTGAAAGAAACCTGATAACAAAGCCTAAGCATTTAAACGTGACATGTTAACCAATGCAGAAGTTACACAGTAGGAGGAAACTTGCAACAGACACTAGTATAATCCACCGTTCCTGTCGCTTTACCAAAGCATCTTTCATAACCACTTCATCGCAGTCCAGTGCTGTTGCCTGTGTAAGGAAGCCCTCTGGAATCATTCACTTCTGCCTAGCTTGTGGAACGTCAGGAGAGCAGGAGCCTCCCTAACCTGGGCAGGGAGGCCATTCCAGAAGGGGGGGGGCACAGTGGAGAAGGCACATGTATGGGGGAGAGAGAGAGAGAATGGCACTCACCTTGGGGAGGGAATTTGTGGATCTCTGTGCATTCGACGGGGGGGGGGGGTCATCCACCTGCCCTTTTAAGTGGTATTGTCTGCCGCCCACTCATCCTCTTGCGCTTGTAGATCTGGCCTTGCTTTGGGCTTAGTAGGCGAATGCTCCAGGCTGAACTGGGACACCTGGAAGAAGTCACAAATCAGACAGGAAGGGCAGTGATGGGAGTGACAGATCTTTCAGCTATCCTGAGATACATGACAAATTACTTTCTAGATGGCCTGGAGCCTTTGTGTGTTGGGTTGTCACTAGGGCAAGGTTTTGCACTGCCTGGAGATCTCTGATGACTCCTAACAACATCAGGCCTTATGCTTTGCCTCATTGGGAGATAGCCTGCTATTTTAATGAATGAAAGGCATCTGCAGGGATTAAGCTCTGTTCAGTATGCAGTATTCTCATGCTTGAGTTGACATGTAAATGTACAGTAGAACTCTCTGGTTGAGAGAAGCATCTTATTTTGAATGCAGGCTTGGCAACTGTGCACGGTGGTACCTTTATGCATCCCAAATTTAAACCACTGAATGAATCGCCACAGGTGGTGTGGTTTTCAGTACAAGGATGGGCCTATATAAAATATAATGAGAATTCCACAAACTTTCCCCCCCATTTTATTAAGCCTTGAGCTCAAAGTAAGCTGTTAATGGAACAGTGGATTTCTTCAATATGCCGCTGATCTGGTAATGATGGTATGCTCCCTTTTGTACTAGGGAAACTGGCTTAATGTGACTGTTTAAGATA